TCGCCACCACACAAAGGACAGAGAGACAGTCCCGGAGCAGCGGAGGGCACCATGCCCAAACCTCCAGCACTTGTTGCAGAGCCGAGAAGAAGGAATGTACTCCTGGACAGAGCACCTGGCACCAGCAAGAATGACAGGGTGGAAGGGTCCTACCATCAAAGGTAATCTTCACAACCCGGAGGGGTTGACGGTGACTACCACGAGGGGGACGAGTAAACGTGTCCACCTGGAGAATAGAATGGCCCTGGGCAGCGAGGATATGTCGAATATCGTCGTGGCAGTCGCGCAGGTCCCGAACACCGGTCGCAACATGGGGCGGGAGCAAAATAGTGCCAACACTGGCATTCAACTGAGCGTTCTTCGAGACCCGAACGGGGGTCTCGCTAAGGCAGGATAAGGCAGCCAAGCGGGAAGCAGCATCCTGAGAAGGAGCAGCAACGACACGTGTACCGAGACGAGTGGGGTTGAAAGTAATGGAGGCATCCACGGAATCAATGAGATGTCGATGGAGGGAGAAATCGTCAGGAGGCGCAGAATTAAGAGGAAGGAGATCAAAATATTTGGCCCACGAAGCGGGACCAAACAAGGCTTGATAGGTAGCAGAACTGGAAGGAATCGAGCGAGGGCGGCCGTGACGAGGACGGCGGTGAGAACCCCCAGAGAGAGAGGGGTTAAAAGGCGCAGTAGTTACAACTAGAGAAGGAGCCGCGCCAGGGGACGAGGTAGTCACCACTGGGGGCTTGGGGCTCGACCCAACCACAGAGGAGGGAGGGGAGCCAGGGGAAGGAGTCAGAGAGGCCAAAGGAGGAGCAAGGTCGGGGCCCAATGCAGCGGAGGCTACAGAGCCCGGTCTTCCAATACGGACCGACTCGGGGGCTTGGTCGCCCACCCCACGAGCCTGAGAAGGTAAACCAGAAGAAGCCGAAACAGGGGTTATCATCTTGACGAAAAGAAGAATTCACTCACGAATGTGCCCCCACACCCACCATGGAGCCACAATTAGAGGCAGGACACCCAACTAGAAGCTATCGCCGATCTTGTCGGGGCCTCCTAGGGGTGCGTCGTGAGTATACGCCCCACAAACGCCACCTTAAGAAACCGACAGTCCGTCGAGATCGGGTTCAGTGACGAAGTGGGGATTGACAATAAAAGGTTCCCCTCGCTCTCGACGTCGGGTACTGCAGTTCTACAGGTGCAAGAGTATGCCTCCTCAAGCACCCGGGCGTCAAAATAGAAGAAGTCCAAGGGAAGAACCAGAACGAGCAAAAGGTCGGCAGGAAACGGCAAGCAGATAGGAGAAGAGGGGGGAGAAAAACGAAACAGAAGGAAAAGGAAAAGATGCCCAGCAGAATTGGAGAGGACGGCAGCAGGAACACAAGGCTAGAAAAGGACAGAGGGCTGTCCCAAGGAGCATCACACTCCGGCAGCCGCCCACTAAGCCCCCACACGGCGACAACGAGCTGAGCGGGGAGGGGGTAATATTCGTCAAAACAATTATAAGATTCAATAATATAGTTTTGCAGAATATTAGTGAATATTGAAGATTATTATTTACCAATTAAGTACAACAACCTAGAGAAACAATTACATACAAGATACTTACTTAACTTGAACATGTTCACATGAATTTATAATTCATGAAATCGTTTCATGTTAAAATTCATGAATTCATCTCATACTTTCGTATTTATGAATTAACTTTGAAATACGTATACACCATAAATATACTGTATATATATGTAAATATATTCAGTCTAGATGAGATTAACTATTGTATCCCATCTAGAATGATTATAATATATTTACATATATATATCTATGCTGTATACCTATCTCAAAGTGATTTCATAAATATGAAACTACGACATGATTTCATGATTTTTAACATACGGAACAATTTCATAAATATGAATGTATGAAACAATTTCATGATTTTTCATTTCATCTCAACATGTTCAAGATAAGTAAGTATCTTTTATTTAATTGTTTCTCTAGTTTCTTGTAAGTAATTGCTTTGCTTCCTTACATGCCTCATGGATTTTTCTGGGATATCCACGGTCAGGATAAACTTTTCAGCTTTCTTGTAATGTAATTGATGTTTCATTACATTCCATCTCTTATTTCCCCATTCATTTTGAACGCTCACAAGGATACATAAAACGCCAATAATATATTCTGTGGTGACTTATTATGACTCGCTATACACACAGTATAATTTACGTCAAACAATAGATACAGAATATACATGCTTTGGGTGGGCTAGTATTATCTCAGGCTCCACCCACCCAAAAGGCAATACTCAAGTCACTCTTGCTATACAGTTATTGTCAAGTTTTGTATTATATAAATGTCATTGAAATTATTACAATAATTCCTCAAATATGAAGGCTACCGTTTTCTGCATTAACAAAATTGTGGATGTAACGGCCTTTAATTTTTTTATTAATGTCTATATAAACTAACTTCAAACAAAATTTATATCATTATGATTCAAAACAATTTTAGTGTTTTTCAGCAGAGCAAAACATCCATGTTCTTTTCATTGGTATTATTAAAAGATTTATATTAAATACATGAAATTGACATCGTTCTATACCATGACACAATCATCAAACTACCCCAAGTCAATGATTACTAAACAATATCAAGGAACATCAATGTCAAACTTTATACAAAACATGAAAATCATAAATGGAAACCAACTGCAGGATACATTATGAATAATGGACCCCCAAGTTTTTAAGGAACAATGTCAAATTCAACTAAATAACTTACTGTCAGCTTTATAACATTTTCATTCAGACATTATTTACTTGTTACAACATCAGTTGCCTTCATTGCTGCGACATGGTCTTACAAGCTTCATAAACTAACAACAGACTTGCTTTGCATGAACGAAACTACTGCAAAAATTAACCTGACATTTTATGTCTGCAATGTAATACAATCTATTATAATTTTTCTAATACATGTATTTACACTTTGCCTTCTGGGTGTCAGTGATAAGACTACCTACAATAGCAAAATAAAATTCTTTTGTACATATCTTCTCCAATTATAGCCGGTTCAGTGGTGTATATATGTGTGTAAACCTGATAGCTGGAGGGGAAGAAAACGCAGCCAGCATTTTGACGGATCCTCACTTATTCTTTAGCTGGCCTATGCTTCTGAAGATGATCTACACTAACAACTACATTCACAGAACATACGGAATCATGATTAGTAAACCTTTTATCACAATTGAGGGGACAAAATTAAATGAGAACAACATTGACAGAATAATATATAGTTGCTGCACCATTTGCAATCAATGTTTCCAATTTCCGATTAACAAAAAAAATATATACTAACAATTCTCAACATGTTGTGATAAATGAACAGGGTGTTGCAAAAGGGGAGCGTTTTATCACCCTTCCACCCTCGAATATTTGGTCATTGTGATAAAACATTTCGTAGGCTGTGCATGTATTGTGAATGTAGCAGTCAACATCAATGGTGTGCAGTAGTACTGCTACACACAGTTACAGCTGATATAATATAATGACACTTATTCAGGGATGTCAACAGGCAGACTGGATGCCATGTGCCCTAATACACACAGCAACACCTATATTGGAACACAACAGGTGGGGAAGCTCGGCAACGCACTACTAACTCCCATCAGTTATATATATATGAACAGTGTGTGTGTACTTTATCACTTAATACATTCATATTCAATAATACATCTTCAGAAAGAATTCCTTCTATAGATCTATTATTAAATACGAAAGTACTTGAGGAAATTTCCTTTCAATTCTTCCTCCGTAGTCTGACACTGTCTCATATATATATATATTATATACCAATATATTATATAATAATATATTATATAATATTATAATATATTATATAATATTATAATATATTATATACTAATATATTAGTATATATTATATAACATATTATATAATATATAATAATATATAATAATATATTATATAATAATATATTATATATTATATAATAATATATTATATATTATATAACAATATATTATATAACAATATATTATATAACAATATATTATATAACAATATATTATATAATAAATTATATATCTATATATTTTTTATTTATTTATATAGGATAAAGTGGAACGAAATCAAGGGATAAAGAAGGCAGAAGTACGTAAATGGAAGGACAACATATGGAAGAAATTATTATATTACTGTGCAACACAATGCAAGGCCAAAGATGCTTGGGTGAAATCTAACATATGAACCCTGCTAAACACTTGGACGTGATATAATAGGTAGATACAGACAAGATACCCGACACAACATCACATTACTACTAAGGAAACTTGGTGTTTTCTTCCCTGCAGCTCACTTATCACATGACCACCACCACCAGTTCAATAAACCTCACGAGCAATGCGAGTTAGCAGTGTCATGCCACACCTACCCCATGGATTTATCACATGTCAACACCTCAGGGGCTCCTACACCAAAACACCTTAATTCATACACATGCCTCAAACTAATATAATTCACAATTGCAATAACAGACCCTATCACTTGACATATGATAACAGTACAAACAGTATAATCATTGATATGATGGTGAAGGTGCTGTAGATGCCATAAGCATGGGAACACCATAACACTGTTTGCATGCTGAGATGCCTCCAATGACAACTTCCCCACCTAATGTGTGTGCTGGGGACATTTATATGAAAATATTACACCATCTACCTCTACACAACAATTGAAATGCAAACATTTTATAGGCACAATACATCTGTTTCAGGCCATATAAATTACATCTTACAAATTCTCTGTTAACTTTCAAAGATAAATGAATGTTAGGGATTATGATATGGAGACTGTCACTACACAAGGGTCCCTATTCATGTGGCAATTATGGCTACATGAAACTCGGTTCACCTTCCCCATCCCATTTAAATGGAAATAGGGTAAAACTTAATAGGTCAATAGATGACATGTGCAACATTTTTCGTATAATGACCAGGTCACGAACCAAGGTATCGAGACAAAAAAAGGCAGAGAACTTTCCTCAGCACCACAGTGCAATGTGTATTAGAACATTTATATTAAGCAATGCAAAATTCACAATCAAACAATTCAGTTATTATCAAGGTTTCTAGTGATTAAAAACTTATCTATTTAAAATTTGATAACGCTAATTAATTTCTTGTGATATAACATGCCTTGATGTATACTAGGAAAACTGCCAGTCAATTCACTACTCTAGTGATTGTGTGGATAAAATGAGGAAGCTGTCAATATTGAGCAGAGGATCCTGCAATACTTATCAGAAGTGGAAGTTATCTTGGGTTGCCATACCAAGTCATCCACACCTCCACACTGGCAAACACCATCACTGTGCAGTGAACACCTCACAAATGGAGTTCAATACAAAATAAAATTAAAAATCGTGGACAATCATGTAATATTAGAGGGTGTATTATAAAATTTAGGAATGACTACAATTCTAGGGTTGCAAAACTGCTTGCCCCTAAGTGAACTTAAGATTACATATTTGGTATAAAAAGCTGAGGTGAGTACTGTGTTCATCTAAACAACCAGATAAGGTGAATTATGTATAAATTATTCACCCACATTTTTTGTTTAAACTATAATAAATGCATAAATATTTGTCTTGGTTGACCACAATGCACATTCCCAGCTATATGCCTTAAATCCAGCAGGTCCTGCATTCTCCCTTTGGTATCTCTCTCTCTCATTATCTCAACTTGTACCTAAAAAATACAAAACTTTGGTATCAATCCACTTCCCATTCCTAAAGACACCAAAGTGGTTACATAAACCTTTCACAGACCATCAAAACTCAAACACTACTTTTTCACGACCTGCCAAAAATCTTATCGACATGAAGAAAATTACCTCAGCAAAGCAAAAATTCTCCAAATGAATCTTTGATGGATCAATAGATCTGAGGTATGGGTTATTATTCGTCTCCTCTTTGCCTATACAACGTCTAAAATATACCATTACCCAGGGGTAATACTGCATCATAGTCAATCATCATTCATTCTTAAATAACCTGCATGCCAAAATTCACTTCGGCTTGGAGGTCCACGACATTTGGGATTTTCAAGATCATTCGACCAGCAGTGGAATATGAAAACACAGCATATATGCCTCTAGTGATCTCACACAGCAGACACCTGGCCTGTTCCAAGGTCTTTGAGCAGTGCCTGCAGTCGTAGGATTTCCTTGTTGGCACTGCTTAGATCCCCACCAAGCTTCAGTTCCTTCTCCTTTAACTTCTTTATTTCCCGTTGACAAGTCTAGAATTAAAAAACAAATCTGTATAATGCAGAAGGGTTTCATTATATATGGTATCAGCCATCCTTCATATATCCTTCAATCCATTTAGCAAAATTCATTCAAAGAAATAAGATGAACAGACTTTGCACAAATTTTGATCACTGCTCTTAACTTAACAAACAAACCAAATGAAATGTTAATGCAAATACAGTGATGATGATTCTGGTAGTAGATGAAGGCTGTTCATTGGAAGCAGTGATGAATACTCATGCATTCTCGGTGTGGAAGAATAAATTATCTATTTCATCAGAGTACACTTGAGGATACGTAATATCGGCTAAGGTCCTACTCTGAACATGGGTACATAGTAGTCCTATGCAGTGACTGAAGATTGACCTTAAATGCTCCTTAAGAGCAGCAACACAATCACAAGACACTACACGAGCAACAAATACAGAGTGGATATTCCAAGAGTCTGACTACCAAACCACATGTCACATGACAGGGGTTCCTAAATTAAGGATAGACCTACAAAATACAATTATCACTTACGAGTAAAATGTCTAACTTATACAGTACATGATTATAATCAGTAAGTAATATACTAAACTTGTGTCAATTCAATTGTTAGTGTAAAACCATTTATGAATTAAGAGTTGATTTTCAATTTGTACTTCCTTTAACAAATTAAAAAAACCAGCGTTGAATCTAATGAAACCCCATTTTCGGCCCGAGACCCGGATATTCCCCGGAGCTATCCAGGCTGATATGTTACTATTAGCTTTCTGCCATCAGTCAAAGTGCATGCAGTTCTTCCCTACCAGGCATCACAAGCCACAACCTGGCCCCCCTCAATAAGGCACGAGGAGCAATGGCCTATAGAAACCCCCGTGTGGTTGGAAGCATTCTATGTCTGCCATCGACCAGGTCTGGCACCCACAAAGGTAGGCGCCCCAAAACAAACCCCTATTCTGGTTAAATCTTTGCTACCCAAAGCCGAACAAATGGACAGAACTCCCCAAATAAAAACTAACAACTAGCATCACGTCACCAAAACGCTGTCTGCCCACCCCACCCTCCCCCGGGAGTGGGAAGGGGAAGCCCCACACCTCCACGCCGGCAATCCAACCTCCAGTTCTTAGATTGGATGTCAAAAACATCCAAAAACACAGCCGACCGGAGGGAGGGAGGGAGGGATGCCGGGGAGCATCCGGGTCTCACCCAGAAAATGGCGTTTCATTACATTCAACGCTGGTTTTCTGGGGGAAGCCCCGTCGGCTCCCCAGAGCTACCTCACCAAAGATAAGGAAAAAGAGGGAAGGACCAGGGAGATGGATGTCACGCGCCCTAACTCTAAAACAAGACAACAGGCCAAAGCAAACGACCCTGCAGACAACCCGCGAGACCCAAACCCCAGAACAGGGAGGAAGCAAGGGAACCTGAGCAAACCAAAGTGCACCCACGGCCACAGAGGTCAAGACACCAAGAGAACATCAAAGAGCCGCAACTGAACACAACACATGATGCACCCCCGGCCCAACCAACCAAGCATAAACAACCCAAGGACCCCTCCAGAAAATAGACCCAAACATCACCAGAAAAGGAGACTGCTGCAAGCAAATATACCTACCACCAGAGCCAAACAAGCAGAAAAAACTCTTGCACCGGAGGAGAGCCAGAAGCTCCCCAACCAGACAGTATCACACCAGCCAAGAACTAAAGGTTGGATCACTGGTGCAAAGGTCTGCAGCTCCCCACTTCCCCTTCCCGGGGAAGGGGAGGGGGTGCGCAGACGACTGCGCGGCAACGTCATGCTAGTTGCTAGTTTTCATTTGGAGAATTCTGTTCACTCGTTCGCCTTTCAGTAGCAATGTTTTTACCAGTATAGGGGTTTGTTTTGGCGTGCCTACCTTTCTGGGTGACAGACCCGGTCGATGGCAGACATAAAATGCTCCAAATCCCATGTGCATTTCTATACGCCATTGCTCCATGTGCCTCTGACAGTGCCAGGTTCTGTCTCATGGTCCCTGGTAGGCAAGAACTCCATGCACTTTGACTGATGCCAGAAAGCTAATATTGTACTAACATCAGCCTGGATAGCTCCGGGAAGCTGACGGGACTCCCCCAGAAAAATACCTATTTGACATTATGTACTTGTATATATCTATTAAAAGTAAATACCTAACCTACACATCTGGAAAGACAGAAAATGAAGACATCTTGGACCATTATCAAATTGTGTAAAGAAAGAGGTAAAAAGAATGCAACATGAAAGGCAAGAGTTAAATCAAGTAGCATAAATCTTAATTCTTCATCCCAATTAAGCCAGCGGCTTTTTGCAGTTATTGTAAGTATTAAATACACTACTATAAATGTACTATGTTGTTTACCACAAACAATAGATTTTCAAATATAGCAGTACACATCCCCACTGTACATTAAGTACCACTAAAGAAACTTAATTATTTGTTATTTGTTAATTGACATCTCATAGTATCAAATACTATATTACCTACAAATGTACACTAAAACACATTGAACTTTAGGACTGCTCAAACATTGCATATAACCAGTGCCTTTATAAAACACACAAATACCTACTATGAAATGACTTAACAAGATCTGGTGAATGTTACACAATATTATTACAATTATTATTATTACTAGTGGAACCTCAGTTTTCGAATACCCGTTTTCGACTTTTTCCTTTCTCGACCTCAATTTCTTTGACAAATTGGACTCGGTACTCAATATTTGCCCCTATGCTCAAGTTTGTTGATAAACATATGGGTCGACCGTGCACATGACGCACTTCAGTTTACCAGTGTCTCTCGCGCTTGAATTCTTTGTCCACAATTTCATTCTTTGTGCTTTTTTGGTCTCTGAACATAAAAGTGTATTATATATTATGCCACGGGTTGCAAGAAAGTCAGTGGTAAAGTTCAACCTAAGAAAATACTTGTGAGGATGATAAAGAAAAAAAACAATCATTCATAGTGAGACAATGTGATGTCTCAATACAGACAACTGTTAAAACATAGGGACAAACAACTGTCTAAAGGCAGATTCTTAGCAAGGCAAGCAAGCAGTGAGCCACAATCAGGTCTTGGTGCTATCTCTGAAACGCGTAACAGTACCCCCAGAAATGTCATCATTGCTGTTTTAATGGAAGGGGACTCCCCTTCCAAACACTAACACCTTTCTTCCCCCCCCCTCCCACCCATTTTCTTCACTGTCTTCCATACGCCAACAAGAGTCCTCAGTAAAGATAACATACTTGTACATACTGTACTACAAAATATAAGTCGTATTACATATATAAAATGTATTTTAAAGTTATTATTTTCTTGCGAGTGTAGAACGGTTTAATTCAATTTACATTATTATGCACAAATTCTTTTCGGTTTTAGATTTTTCGAACCGCGTCTGGGAACGGATTACATTTGAAAACGGAGGTACCATTGTATTATAATTTATTATTATAATTATAGGCTTCTGAATTGACAGCTTGCCAAGCATCTTGTTGGTAAAAATCAGCTAACAAGGCAAATATATGGACAAGTCAATAGGTTCTTCACTGACTTACCACATTCTGACGGAGGAGATCCAGTTTATCACACTTGAGCTTGTTGATCTCGTGTTTCAGAGTTTCGACCTGTCGCATTACAATTTCAGGGTCTGCATGGAGGGCGCACACCCCATCCTCATGACCCCCACAGAGAGGACACTGTAGGGATAACTTGTGAGGGGTCTCAGCTGAGGACATTGACTCTAGACCTGTATCAGAGTCCTCATTAAGTGGCTGAGGGTGACAATCAATATCCATGGAATTGAGGGAGGAGTCATCACTTTCCGACAATGCCATATGCGTGTTCGGAGTTGTGTCGGGGCTGGATGTTGGGGTTCGTGCACCGCTGCTGCCTCCACTGCTTTTACTGCGTGCACTCTGAGGATGTTACTAAATATTAGGAGAAAATATTCCAACTGAATGAGACAGGGCATGGATGAAACGTGTAACAATGACTGTTGAATGCTAATTGATCACGATTTTTTAAATATTGTATAGAGGTTAAATTAAGTTGAAATGGATGCCGTGCAAATTGATTTCAGTTGTTATTTAGTTAAAAATTAGAAACATTTTGATATTTGGAATTTGTGCATTGTCCATAAATAAAGGCATCAGACTACTGCATCCTCAGTACAACATAAACTGTGTTGTACTGAAAGGATAAGATAAATTTGGAAATAATACTGACAAACTGTATATGCATAAATATGTACATTGCAAACAGGTGGAGAATTTCTGGCAGCACAATTTCACAATTCATATGTTGTGAGCTAACAATGTAAATCCCCTGCACTGGTACCAAAATACATTATTGTATTTTATTTATCATTTTTGAAAATACCGTTTTCCAATACCCAGGGGAAGACTTTTTGATATCTGTGTTTTTTCAGTACGTTGTACAATGTAATTTTAATACAGATTTTTGCATTGCAAGCAATGAATGACATTAAACTGATCTGAAGTGAGTTAGATTTGAGAATACTTACACAAAACAGTGTTGAATGTAATGAAACGCCATGTTCTGGACGAGTCATGGAGGATCCCTGGAACTATCCAAGCTGATATGCTAATGTCAGGCTTTGGCATCAGTCATGTCCTAAAACAAACCCCTATTCTGGTGAAAATTGCTACAAAAGCAAAACAAGTGGATAGAACTCCCCAAACAGAAACGAGTAAATGAGTATGACGTCACACATTGCCGAGCCACCGTCTGCGCAGCTCCCCCCTCCCTGGGAGAGGCAAGGGGAAGCCCCAGACCCCTGCGCTGGCTATCCACCTCTCAGTTCTGAGGCCGGACATCAAAACACACGAAAACTGCCGACCAGAGGGAGGGAGGGAGGGTTGCCAAGGAGCCTCCGGGACTCCCCCAGAAAATGGCATTTCATTACATTCAACGCTGCTTTTCTAGGGGGGAGCCCCTTCGCCTCTCCGGAGCTACCTACCCAAAGACGAAAACAAGAGGGACCTAATCTGGGAGGCGGACGTCGCACACACCCCAATGCAAAGCGCAGACAAAACTGCAACTGCCAACCCAAGGGCACACAGGCCCGACAACACCCAGGAACATCAACGAAGGAACGCAGAGCGAACCTACGAATGACATGGCCACGGGGACAGACTGCAAGCTGGCAAAACTGAACCACCCTGCGGACGACCCGAAAGAACCGGTCCCTAGAACAGAGAAGAAGGGAACTGGGAACAAACCAAAGCGTGACCCCGGTCACGGCAGCAGTGGCACGCCATGCACAGCGACGTGTAGCAACCTGAACAAAACACACGACTCGCCACCGGCCAGACCAACCAACCATCGACAACCCAAGCAGCCGTGCCAGTCTTTGCAAGAAACAAGGAGATGGCTGCAAGTGAACAAACCTATTAGGAAAACCAAAAGAGCCGAAACCAAGGCCCCGGACGAGGGCATGAAGCACCCCGACCCAATCCCCATAGGCCAACGCCCATAACAAAAGAGCCTCGAAAAACCATCCAGAATCGAAGGGTCCATAACAAACTGAGGAGAAGAGAGCCCGCAATCCAAGAACCAGGACGGCTCAAGCGGCGGAAGAGTAGGCCGGAGGTGAACCACGCCAGTGACGGCTCGTGAAGCGGTGCAGAGGCAACTCCAAAACCGAAGCAACTCGGAACGGCTCGGCAAGCGCTGCACGAGACGAGGCGACAGTATGTGGCAAGATGACGGCTCCGAGCCTCCACAAGAGAAGGACAAGGCCACGCCAACAAAATGCAGCTAACCTAAGAAGGGACAGAAAGAAAAAGGAAGGATCCCCAAAAATCTCCATACCGCCGCCAAGAAGCAGCACGCAGTTGGGACACCAACAAAGCCACCTGACCACCAACTGATGCCGAGAGACTCGAGGCAGCCTCAGGGCTTCCGGGAAGCAAACAACCTAGCGCGTTGCCACCACCTGAACTCAACATGCAATGCCCGTGCTGCCTGCACCCACATAGTCAGCATAAGACTGGGTAACCAAGTCATAAACAACCAACAAAATTCACAGGACTCCGGCTCGGAGGTGCCACCGACCCCACATGCACCAAATGGAGGCAAAAACAGTGAGTCACCCTGAAACAAGGGGACAGATCAACCTCAAACTCGCAAAAAAGCGAGGGGGAGACTCTCGAGTCGCATCCATCGGACCCACATGCCCCCATGGGGATTCCCAGGGTCCTGAGACGGAACTCACGATCAGGGAAGCCCAGGCAGAGTACTGCTAACTGGCGCCCAAGTCTACCAAACAACTTTCGAAGAACTGAACCCCCGGGATGTGTACGCTCACAGGGACCTAGCAGGGAGAACCACTGCAACAAGGAAGAGTACCCAGTACACAGGGGGCAAGAACCAAGGCAGAGTCCCCCACCAGGCAGACAAACAAAGAAAAAGAAATCCCCACAAGAGAACAGCATACCCAGGCAGAACAGAGCCGGCCGCTATGTTTGGTGAAAAAAAGCTGTCCAGTACCCTGCGCCTCTACCAGTGCAAATTGCCCCCTACCCTAAGGCGAACAAGGGAGACAGAACACCCTAGCACACAAAGGGCGGCCAAAAACAAAGCACTAAACGGCCTAGTAGAGGCAGAACCCAAGGAACTTGTGGAAGGTGGCCCCAAGGACAATACTTAGTACTTACTGGGCACCTAGGGAAGGAAGCCCTAGGTGCATGCAGTCCGAGTACTGGAGAATCACTCCCGGCTCACGCACCACCTACAAGACAGTCAAAACACACAAGGCACAGTGCTGAAACAACCACTGGAGCCAGAGCACACGACCATTGCCTATAGCATCAGCCTCAGAACCGAGAAGTGGATAGCCAGCGAGGGGGTCTGGGGCTCTCCCTTCCCCCTCCTGGGGGAGGTGGGAGCTGTGCAGACGGCAGTGCGGCGACGTGTGACGTCATACCCTACTCAAATCTCTGAATATGTTAGATATTAAGTCACTGCACATTCTCTCTTGTGTATTATACATATATAAAATGCTGAACTAATGCCAATCCTGACCTCAAAAACTTCAATAAAGGTTGTAACAGATCCCATGAGCACCACACCAGAAATATTTCCAGTTTTCATATTCCAAGAGTACGACTTAAACTAGAAATGCTCTACAAATCAAGGGACCCAGAATGTGGAATGATCTTCCCAACCATGTTAACGACTGTACCTCTCTCGTCCAGTTTAAGATAAAAACGAAGCACTACCTAATAAATTCCCTGTAACCTACCTTGCCCCCCTATTGTCAACCCATGTCTTTTCTGAAACAACGCCGTTTGTCGACCTAATTGTATTTGTGCTGCGTTTTCAGCCATGTTTCCCCCTTTTTTATCTTTATTTTTATTTGTTCTCAACACATTTTATTCTTTATACTCAATTAGTATTAAGTTTTGGTCTTTAATGTTTTTCCTGCCAGAAACACTTTGCGTAATAGTGGCTTTAGGCATTGTATGTACTAGCTCCATCTATAAATCGATCAAATTATGTAAAATCTATTTTATGTATGTACCTTACCTGAATAAACATTTTATTTATTTTATTTTTTTATACTCGTTTGCTCGTTTCTGTTTGGGAAGTTCTATCCACTTGTTCAGCGTTCTGTAGCAATTTTCACCAGAATAAGGGGTTTGTTTTGGGATGCCTACCTTTCTGGGGTGCCTAACCCGGTCGATGGCAGACACAATGGTTCCAACCACACAGGGGTTTCTATAGGCCATTGCTCCTCGTGCCTCTGTGAGGGAGGCCAGGTTCTGGCTCGTGGTCCCCGGTAGGCCCACAGAACTCATGCCAAAGTCTGACATTAGCATATCAGCCTGGATAGCTCAGGGGAGCAGACGGGGCTCTCCCTACAAAATATATATGTAATAATAAAGGCTATGGCCTCTACTTCACAAGGAACATTGAACCATACCCAGGCAGGCCCCGAGGATGACTGGCTTGTATGGAGAGGGAGGATACATGAAATTTTACCATCTAAAGACAAGTTCTCTCTAGCCTGCAAATCAATACCCCAGGAAGGTTTAAAAGAACATTGGAGTCCCTTCTCAGACTTGGGTGCTTAGGTACATATAGTTGAGCACATACGACAACAATAGTGAGAGACCTCCCTAAAGGGCAATTGTGATATTTAAATACGACTGTCTGGGCTTGACCAAGTTTGCTCCAGTGACTTCCCACCATCAACAATGACCCTGCAGGGATATTTACAATTCATTGTGTGTGCAGAATAATGCAGACGAAAAATGAGAGGATAACAGCTATTTATTGTGGATATGGTACTAGAATGTCATCCCTACCTATGATACAGTGGAATTTTTGCTTGCATACAACTTAATGTCAAAGCTAAAATTAGAGACAATTATAGCTCTCGAGTCGAGGTCGAGGGAGGGGGAAGACGTACCGTGCGCGCTCCATTAAAATCGTGACATTAACCGGGATTCTTAGGACTACTGCCATGGATTACTGATTACAGACAAAGTGCATAGTGACCCGCTGGAAATTTGAAAATAGTCATTAACAATAGAACTTTGTGTTAAATAGAGAATAAACGGGAGACCACGTGTGAGCCAGTGAACGACGCTTTGTGTACATGCGTGTATTAGGAAAAAAAAAAATAGTGAATGGTGATTAGTGGAACAGTGATGTGGAACGGGTATCACAACAACATATAAGTTGGAAGTGAAGGAAAATCATGCATAGAATATTATAAATATAGAATACTAGAAATATAGAATAGTGGCAAGAGGCGGCATCAGTGGTTATAAATCGGGTAACTGGAAACTGGTGACATCAACCTGGGACAACAAGAGGTCACCTGTACCAACCGGGGGACCAGCTTCGCTACCCTACACTAAGCACCTGCCATAAAGTTTCAACAAAATAACATACATAATACTACAAATATACGGTATACATATAATATTATAAATATTAAACATATAAATATATATACATATAATTTTATAAAGAGTTAAAAGGACTGACATCAACAAGTGATCCATACAGTGAATCTCAAATACAACACAATACATCAGACAATGGAGATGTGTGGCGAGTGTTAGGGAGTATTGGGAAGACGTAATGCAGGCGTGCAGTGCTGCATCTGTAGCATAAGATTTCACCTGGGCTGTACAGAATTAGCTCCAGGATGCATAAACAGGCAAGCAATTTACTGGGTTTGCAAAGATGACAGATTAATGTTAGAGAACATAACTAAACTGATGAAAAACATTCCAGAGTCACAGATTATCATTCACAGACAGGCTACCAGTGATATATGCAGACTGGGAAAAGTCAACATTCGATAACGACCAAAACTCAGGAACAAATAGTTTAGAGAACCGCAGCAGTAGTGTGGAGGAGGAGACTATTGTGGTACAAAATAACAGCAATATTGCAGAGCCAGATAATATAAACGATGAGAGCAACAGTGAGACAGAGTGCATAGATGAAGGAATTGGGACGAAAAACGGAGATGGCTCCAATAAAGAGGTAGACAAGACAGTCACAGATATAAACACCTTGAAAAACGCAAAACCGGAACACATTTGCAAATTCTACGCTAGAGGAATATGCAAATATGGAAAATTAGGAGCAAAATGCCATTTTCTGCATCCTCGAAAATGCAGGAACATGTTGGAGAGGGCTACATGCCGTTTTGGAACAGGGTGTAGATACTTCCACCCTAAATTATGTCTATTTTCAATTAGGGACAAAAAATGCTACAATCTTCAGTGTCCGGAATTCCATGTGAGAGGTACAGAGCGTTATAGACAGGAAGATCAATATGACACTACTGGAAATTTTTTACAGGAAGGCAGAAACAGAGTACTAAATATAAGAGAGGAACAGTCAGATGGAACCACTACAGGATTACAGAGGGGAACGGAGATACCCACAAGACTGGAATTCAAATTATCAACAAGCACACAGGTACTACACCAGACAACACCCGTCCTACTACCAAAACTGGACGAATCACTTCCAAAACGACACACCCTGGACGCAAACACAGTGGCCTCCTTACCAGAGACTCAGATATTAACACCAAGTAAGGCTTCCAGCACTTCCACGACAACATTTATATTTGCCAACATCCAGGGTATAAAAACACGACAATCCAACAAAGTTCATTTTATAGATGGTCTCCATGAGGCAAATGTAGTGTTTGCAGCCCTAACAGAAACCCACACAAAGGACTACCTTGATGGTGAAATATGGATCTCAGACTACAATCTTTTCAGATGTGATAGGAAACACCGGCTTCAGGGTGGGGTCAGCCTCTACATCAAAGACACACTCATCTGTACTGAGCTGCTAAACACCTCAAATGATATGGTGGAAGTGCTGATAATCAAAAGAGAGATTTTAAATGTAGTTATTGTCCTTGTATATAAGTCACCGGAGGCAAACCCTCACCAGTTTAAAGACGAACTAATGAAAATAGAACACTGCTTGGAAAACCTCACAAATCCAGCTCCGAACATCATCCTGCTTGGGGACTTCAACCTACGGCACCTGAAATGGAAGCACCTGGCTAATACAGTAATATCAGAAAGAATACCAGCAAGTAGCCTAAATGAACAGGCACATGCAAATGACCTGCTATGGATGTGCGACAGGTTTGCCTTAAACCAGCAAATAGTAGAACCAACTAGGAAGGAGAACACGCTGGACCTCATTTTCACTAATAATGATGAATTGATCAGGAACAATGATTACAAATACCTGTTACTCAGATCACAACTTAATTGAAGTTATGACAACCATGGGGAGTAGACCTTCAAAACCAGTCCAGATTCCCGGTGGAGGAGATTTCAGCAAATTCAACTTCAATAATAAACAGATAAACTGGGAGCAAATAAACCAGGACTTCACAGAAATATACTGGGAACAACAGCTAGAAAATGCAAACCTGAACCAGTGCCTGGAAAAAATAAGCTCAGTAGCACTAGAAATATGTTCAAACTGCATACCTCTAAGAAAAAAGAGGAAGAGATGCAGATTGGAACGGGAACGTCGTTCCCTATATAGCCGAAGAAAATGAATCGCGGAACAACTTGAGAGTCGCACCCTATCTCAAGAACGGCGAAGAAGGTTAGGTAGAGAAATAGAAACAATTGAACTCAAGCTACAAGAATCATACAAAACCCAGGAGAGGCAGAGAGAGCAAAAGGCCATCAGTGAAATAGAGAGAAATCCAAACTATTTTTTCTCCTATGCAAAATCAAGATCAAAAACCACATCTAGTATCGGGCCCCTGCGAAAGGGAGATGGAACTTTCACCGATGACAACAAAGAAATGAGCGAGCTACTGAGGAAGCAGTACGACTGTTTTCAGCGAGCCATTAAACACACTAAAGATTGATAACCCAAATGAATTTTTCATGGATATGATACCAACATCAAATCATATATCAGACGTCACCCTATACCCACTGGATTTTGAAGAAGCCATAAACAGTATGCCTATGCACTCTGCACCAGGCCCGGATTCTTGGAACTATAAAATTTATAAACTGTAAAAAACCACTATCGCAGGCCATCCACATTCTGTGGAGAGACAGAATAGATACTGGCGTTATTCCTGATATACTAAAAACAGCAGAGATAGCACCACTTCATAAAGGAGGAAATAAAGCAGAGGCAAAAAATTACAGACCGATAGCACTAACATCGCACATCATAAAAATTTTTGAGAGAGTGCTAATAAGTAAGATCACAAAATACATGGAATCACAGCATCTCCATAACCCCGGACAACATGGTTTCAGAACAGGGCGCTCTTGCCTGTCGCAGTTGCTGGACCACTATGATATGGCATTACATGCTATGGAAGACAAACAAAACACTGATGTAATTTACACAGATTTCGCAAAAGCTTTTGATAAATGTGACCATGGCGTTATTGCACATAAAATGCGTTCAAACGGAAAAATAGGCAGATGGATCTACAATTTCCTGACCAACAGAACCCAATGTGTAATAGTCAACAAAATAAAATCCAGCCCATCAACCGTGAAGAGCTCAGTCCCCCAGGGTACTGTGCTTGCTCCAGTACTTTTTCTCATCCTCATATCGGACATAGACAAGAACACAACCTATAGCACTATCATCCTTTGCAGATGACACTAGGATCTTCATGAGAGTAGGCAACATAGAGGACACGGCGAACCTCCAGTCAGATGTAGATCAGGTCTTTCTATGGTCTACAGAAAATAATATGGTGTTTAACGAAGATAAGTTCCAGCTCATGCGCTATGGAAAAAATGAAAATATAAAAACGGAAACCACGTACAAAACTCGGGCAACTCATAACATAGAACGAAAAGGCAATGTAAAGGATCTGGGTGTACTCATGTCGGAAGACCTTACCTTTAAAGAACACAAAGTAGCCGTCACAACTGCAAGAAAAATGACAGGTTGGATAACAAGAACTTTTCACACTAGAGATGCTATACCGATGATGATACTTTTCAAAACGCTTGTGCTCTCTAGAGTGGAGTACTGCTGTACAATGACAGCACCTTTCAAAGCTGGAGAAATTGCTGACCTGGAGAGCATGCAGAGATCCTTTACTGCTAGAATCCACTCAGTAAAACATCTAAACTATTGGGACCGACTAAAGAGCCTAAAACTGTACTCCCTTGAGCGCAGGCGGGAGAGGTACATAATATTTTACACGTGGAAAATAGTAGAGGGGCTGGTCCCAAACCTGCACACAGAAATAACATCACATGAGACCAGAAGACATGGCTGGATGTGCAGAATACCCCCGTTGAAAAACAGAGGTGCAACAGGTACTCTGAGAAAGAACTCTATCAACATCACAGGCCCGAGACTGTTCAACACGCTTCCACTACACATAAGGGGCATAACTGGCCGACCCCTCACAGTGTTCAAGAGAGAACTGGATAAGCACCTCCAAAGGATACCTGATCAACCAGGCTGTGACTCATACGTCAGGCTGCAAGCAGCCGCGTCCAACAGCCTGGTTGATCAGTCCGGCAACCAGGAGGCCTGGTTGACGACCGGGCCGTGGGGACGCTAAGCCCCGGAAGCATCTCAAGGTAACCTCAAGGTAAGGTAGTTGTTGATAATTTGACAGTTAATTTTTCTGCATTCATTTATTTTAATCTATATATAAAACAATTACCTACTATGTAACCACTTATCCACTGTACTGTATATTGTATAAATAAAGATTGTTATTTTATATACCCTATGTTTTTCAGTGTGTACATGTAATCTTTATCAAAAGTATAACAATAATAATATAGTACAGTATATATAAAATGAACACAGATTTCAACTAACTGCAGGAGTTCCAGCCAATAATGTGTTTGAATTATTAGTAATGGGTTTCTTTAACACCCCAGCAGCATCAGGGTTCTTGCGACCAATCAGCACACTACGAACAATCTCTCTGAACTTGTTGCCTGTAGTCTCCACCTTGGGCGTCTCTGGAACTTTTGTTACACCAAGGAATTCATTGGTTTTCATCCTCAAATCATCCACGAGAGCACTTAGCAGAGAAGATCGTGTACGCATCTGTAAAAAACAAAAAAACCAGCGTTGAATGCAATGAAACGCCATTTTCTGGGCGAGACCCAGGGGCTCACCACAGCTATACCGGGTTAATATGTATATATTAGACCGTGGCAACAGTCAATCGAAAGAGTTCTAAGCATACCGGGGACCAGAGCCAGAACCTGGCCCCCACAAGAGAGGCACAATGAGCAATGGCCTAAAGACACCCCGTATAATTGGAAACAGTCTTTGTCTGCCATCTACTAGGTCAGGCACCCAGAAAAATAGGAATTTCAAAAACTACTGCTGGTTAAAAATTGCAAACCGAAAGCCAAACTAGCAAACAGAACTCCCCCAAACAAAAACAAGGAAACAAAGTCACCACAACTGCAGCCAGGACCTTTTTCAACCTCCAATAACCCTGTGCCCAAAAAATAGACCAGGACATACCAAAACAGCAGCCGAATGCCAAACTTACAAACGGCGTGGGCACGGGGAAACACCGCAGGCTGGCTGGACTGAATAATCTCGCAGACAACCTGGGAGTCCCGTGCCCTGGAATAGGGAAGAAGGGAAACTGGGTTAACCCAAAGTGCGTCCTCTGCCACAGAGCCCGTAACACGCAAATAATGGTGAAGAGCCACAAACAGACAAAACATGATGCACCCCTGGCTGAACCAACCAAGCATCAACAACCCAAGGACCCCTTCGGAAAACAGCAGACTTATTCTTCGCCAGAAAAGAAGGAGACGGTTGCAAATGAAGAAAAGACCACCAGTACCGAAAGAGCAGCAACCCCTGCGCTGGAGGAGAACATGAAACTTTCTAACCCGACCCTCAGAGGCCAATGCCAACAAGAAAAAGAGCCGAAGAAAAACAGTCCTCAACCGAGGGGGCCACCCCAAACCGAGGAGAAGGGAGAAGAGAGCACCCGGTGTATCGACTAGGACAGCTCAGGCGGCGCATGAGCAGGCCGGAGGTGAAAACAACGCCCAAGAAAGCTTGCGGAACAGAGCAGAAGTGACATCCAACCCAAAGGCAAGCTGCAGCGGGTCCACCAGCGTCACCCAAAACGAGGCGGCAGTATCTGGCATAAGAAGACAGTCCTGAAACAACCAAGAGAGAAGGGACAAAACAACCCGACCAGAAATCGAACACAACCTACGAAGAGCCAAGTGCCAAAAAGACCGCCAGGAAATTTTGTACTGCCGTCAAGACGAAACTCGCAGTTGGGACCACCTGATCGCCATACAAGTGGTGATAAACCCCGTCAAAAAGACCAGACGTGAGAAACAGAGAAGATCGAACCAGCCATGTACCGGAATGGACCAATCTCCTGAAAGAAACAGAGCCATGGGAAGACCCTCGGGTTCAGATATCGAGCATAAAGCGCCTGAAACCAGGGCTGGGCCGGCCACCAAAGAGCCAACAGGAATACTCATCCCTGGTAAGTCTCTCTAAGCTAACCAGGACCCGGAGCAACAACCAAATCGGTGGGAAGAGATACAGGTAACCCCAACTCAACCTGTCCAGCCGAAAGGCATCGACCCCGACAGCTTCGCAGTCTGGGAAGGGCGCCACATACACTGGAAGATGCCTCGGCCAAGTTGATGTGAAGAGGTCCACCTCTAGGTGCCCAGACGTCCAGCAGAGCCAACTTAACGAGTCTGTGTCTACCGTCCATTTCACGGATAGGGGAATGAACCGAGACAGGCCATCTGCCAGGACGTTTGACACCCCCTGAACGTGAACCGCCAGGAGAGCCAAACCCCGAGAATTCAGCAAACGAGTCACCTGAAGCGACCAGCCCCACAGAGCCAAGGACCGCATCGAAGCCCCGCAGTTTAGACAATGAACCACTGGGGAGCAGTCCAAATGGAGCCAGATCATTGCTCCACGAGCAACACGAACCCTCTGAACTGAATGCCACATCACTGAACTCCTGCGCCTTGCTGTGAGCCCGATGAAAGGATGGACCCCATCGACTCTGGCCAGCCTGGTGAGCACTGGTCAGAAAACCCCAGCTGAGAGACGAGGCATCCGTGAACACATCGAGCAAGAGCTAGGGGAGGCGACAGGGCATAGAGCCCCGAAAAAACCCTCAGAGGATGCCTGCGATGCCGCAGCCGACGCAAAGCTCCCAGGATCCGAACACAGTGATCACGAGAGCAGCTGAAGGGACGCCCCTGAACAAACCAGAACATCCACCGAAGCCAGATACAACCCGACGGATAGACCAGCACGGCCAAGATCAGGCTCCCACATCGCCGCCCAAACAACCGACGTTGTTTGGGTGGCGGTTGCCCCCCTCCCACGAACATATGAGTGACACAGGTCGTCAACTAGACAAAGCCGCCTGCAGAAAATGCATCACCACAGACTCTGCAGTCACTAGGGATGCCAAAAGAGAGGGCACCTGCACGTGAAGTCGCACCTGGCCGACATCATAAGGAAGAATGGGAGCAAACAACCACACATTGAGGTGCTCCAACTTACCCCCCCAGGAAAACCTGAACGACCGTAGTCAACTCTCGCCATTCAATTGCGCAGTCTGACAGGACGAATGCCAAGCCCCCAATGAAAGAAATGGCAGTCTGCCAGCCAGGAAGACTCCGGCATCTTGTAATGTACCCAATAAGGAAAAGAGGAGCCAACTCAAAAGAAGAAGGCTTCATTATCAAGGTGTAATCCGGATCTCGCAGGAGGTAAGCTGCAAGGGCCTCCCACACCTTCCTTGGTGGGAATGAGGTAAGCCAAAAACCTCCAGAAGGGCGAAATCAAAGAACCCAATGAAACTCGGAACCGAACCAAGTGAGGAGTCCAACTCATAACAAAATCGTACAGGGAGGGGGATAGGAAAAACCCCTTCCCCTGTAACAAGCCCCGTGCTGAGGATACCAAACACCCAAACAGGGACAAGCGAGGCCCAGGCCCCCGCCAAGTCAACTCTTCCCCAACCCCGGAATCCTCCACGTCAGGACCCAGAGTTGGGCCGTCCTCCAAACCTTCTGCCTCGGGAGAAAAAGCAGAGTTCACCGGAAAGGCAGGGATGAAGGGGGCCCACTGGCGCAACCCAAAAGCTCCAGCAGGAGGACCAGGCTTGAATGCCTCTGCCGCCGATCCAGAAGGGGCGATCCCTAAAGCCGCCCGAGTCTCACTACCAGTAAAATTCAGCGGAGCAGCTGCAGGGCATCGGGAAAGGCAACCAACCTCACACGTTGCTGCAACCAAAACCTCGCATGCAATGCTAAAGCTGCCTGCACCCAATATCAGTCTCAGTGGACTGGGATGAATGGAGTACAAGCAAAGAACACCACTCACAGGACTCCGGGTCATAGGCGTCACTGATCCCAAAAGGCAGCAAGGTGGAGGCATACGGTGAGTGTCACCCTAAGACAAGGGGACAGAGCAACCTTCAAACTCGCACAAGGCGAGGTGGAACTCAGAAGTCCCTTACATCCAACCACTGAGCCCCAAAGGGGGTTTCCAGGACCATTAGGCTGACTGCTAAGGGAAGCCCAGGCAAGGTACTGCTAACCGTTATCCCAGAGCTACCAAGCAAACAAACTAATAGCTGAACCCCTGCAACGTGTGAAAGCACGGGGACCTAGTGGAAGGCCACCAAATTCCTACAAGTGGTCCTACCGCCACACCAGGCATACCCCTACCAAGCAAATCAAAACATAAAAGAAAAACCCCACAAAAGCACAACGTCTCCAGGTGAACAGAACCGGTCGCTATGTGTATATCACAAAGCAGCACAGAACCTCGCGCCCCAGCCAGGGACGAAACTACCTCCTACCCAAGAGGAAACAGGAGTAAGAACCACCCCAGCTGAAACCCAAGGGTGGGGCAATCACCGAGCAGCGACAGAACCACACGGATGTAGCTGCTCCTGAACTGCTCATGAAGATAACCCTGAGGCCGCAAAGGCAGTACTTACGGGGCACCTATGGAAGGTAGGTGCATGGAAGGAAGGAAGGTAGGAACCTAGGTGCATGAAGCCCCTGTACTCTTGTGTTACTCCTGACTCTCACACCACTAATACAGAGTAACACCGCTAAGCAGCACTTCGCAAAGAGTGAAGCCAGAGCGATCGACCGTTACCAACAACAGTCTCTTGAACTGAGGAGAGTTCATGGAGCGTGGAGGTCTGAATCCACTTCCACATCCCCCTCCCGGGGAGGAGAGGGTTACACAGACGGATGCAAGGCAGTTGTGGTGACGTCATGTTTCTTTCCTTGTTTTTGATTAGGGAGTTCTGTTTGCTAGTTCGACTTTCGGTTTGCAATTTTTGACCAGCAGTAGTTTGTTTTGTCCTACCTTTCTGCGTGCCTGACCTGGTAGATGGCAGACAAAGACTGCTTCCAAATACACGGGGGTGTCTTAAGGCCATTGCTCCTCGTGTCTCTCTTGAGCGGGGCCAGGTTCTGGCTCTGGTCTCTGGTAGGCTTAAAACTCCTTCAATTGACTGTTGCCACAATTGATTTATAGAATGCTCCAAATCACATGGGGATTTCTATAGACCATTGCTCCTTGTGCCTCTCTGAGGGGTCCAAGTTCTGGCTCATGGTCCCCGGTAGGCCTAGAACTCCTAGAACCTAGACCTAGAACAGTGTTAACTCCATTTACACTGATGCCAAAGTCTAATGATATACATATCAGCCTGGATGGCTCCGGGGAACCGAAAGGGCTCCCCCCCACCCCACCCCAGAAATAGTAAGGATTTTATAGCTAATTTCTGGTATCCCTCTGCCTGCATTAACCATTGTGTTAAGGGCAATTGGCCATTGTCACCCACAAGTGCATAAAAAAAAAAAAAAAAACTTCCTAACCTGTTAATTTGTGTTCCCTGACCACGAGAAAAATAAACAAAATGTAATTGTACTTACCAATGACGTAAATGAGCCGACAATATCAGCGATGACGTCACAACCTGCATGCTCGCTTATGCAAGGTGCATCCCAGAGGCGTCACGTGTGGTCTTCAAGCAGCCATAGTTGCCACGAATTTATTTTCGTGGCATTATTTAGTGTCTAGGCATATTTTATCACAAATATTATTCAATAGTTGTGTTGCATATAATGTTACTTCATGTTCCATGATAATAAATGTTGCATACATCGAGTATACACATGAGCACACGAATGTTTTCAATTACGTCAATATAATATGTTTTCACATTGTTCATTATTATATTTACACACATGCATGCACTATTTACAGGTTTTTGCACTATTATTGCACATTTAGAAGTCTTGGAGAGAGTGGTAGTCGTTGAAGCAGTTGACAGCACATAGTAAGACTGCACACGCTTCACACCATGTTTGCACCAGTTTACGTCTCTTATCTCTTTTTTTTTTTTTGTTTTACATACCAAGAAATCACGTTGGCCTATTGAACGCATTCCAGCTGGTGGCAAATGTTTTAGTCTGTGTGCTTAAAAGGCCACCATGTACGTGAGCCTGGGTGTAGCAGCATGCTGCAACACTGGGGTTCATGATGGATCTTTGTATGCCAGGAACATCTTTGCCAAACTTTGTTAGTAACTGTGTCACAAGTGTAAACCAAACGAATGGAAACTTTGTTTACGTCCACTTTCACCAGATACATATTGTAGCTGTTCAGCATGTGGAAAAAACACTTTTTCGTTCACTTCAATGTTTTCCGTACATACTCGACAGTGCCCACCATCATGTCAGACATATCGACCAAACGCATGTTGATATTATAGTCAAGAACACAATCTGGCTTATATACTGGATCTTGCATTACTCGGTTCACATTACCACTGTTCACCATTGTATCATCATGCACGGTTGTCAGCAAGTTCACTCCTCTCTTGTTTTTCCACCTAACAGTATTTGATCACATTTTCTTAGCTGGCAGTCACCACCTTCAAGATTTTTGTCAAACACTGGCATTTCCCTTCTTGGCTTTACTATGCCAACCATTCCAGTTCTAAGTTCAATCAAGAACCTAGCTAGCAAGGGTCTTGTATAGTAGTTATCCGTGTATAAAATGTAGCCCTTGTTCATCCATGGTGCCATCGGTGACTTCACCACACTACCTGAGAAACCATGTTGGTCGTTACCGGGAATGTCTACATCGCTAGCAGAATACAGAATCATGCGTAACACGTATTCTGTTTCATAGTCACAAAGAAAGATTTTCAATCCAAATCTTTTGCGTTTGGAGGGAATATACTGCTTGAAGGCAACACGTCCTTTGAAAAGCACAAGGGATTCGTCAATCATCAGCTTCTGTGCTGGTACGTAGAAATCTCTCGACTTTCCAATCACTTCATTCATATAGTGCCTGACTCTCCAAAGTCTATCATCCTCTCTCCAGTCTTCATTACAGTACTTGCAAAATGAAAACACCCGAGGAGTATCTGAAACCTGTCTTGGGACATATTTCCCAAACAAAGGTGTTGGAACAGTCTGGTCTTTGCTCAAATAATCTGTGTTAGTGTGTTTGACACAATGTTTCATCAACATACATAGTGCCAAAAATATATACATTTCACCTACATTAGTGTTTTTCCAACGCTGCAGTCGTGAATATTCTATTATCTCTTTTCCAACGAGATGAGCCGCATGAAGGTTTGTTTGGTGTACAATATATTCCATGAGCGGCTCATCATAAAATGCTGTAAAATAATCCATTTCACACATGTCCTCACAATTATCAGGGAAAAGGCCTGTAATCCCAACATCTTTATTGTCAATGGCAGGAATTAGAGGAATAAAATTGTCACCATCACTGCACACAAGGATACCTTGTGTCCTGCGAGGTGCAACACTGGCACGACGGCGAGGAAGCGTTGCACACCATGGACCAGGAGCTGAAGCCTGTCTGCGCAAAGTACGGGTGCTACGTGAACGTGAGGTGAAATCATGTGAACATGAGGGGTCTTGGTTCCTCATGTAGTGCCATGCGGCAGCTCTTGGCTGGGCGAGATGCTGCCGATGCGACAAATTCTCGCCCGGTAACAACTGGTACTAGCAACAGGCGTGGTAACACTATGCTCTGAATCCACTTCACTAAAACCAGAAAAACAAACAGTCATCTTCCTCTGACTCGTTGCCCAAAATATCTTCATACACTAAATGAGTACAAGAACTGTGTGGTCGTGGGTGAACTGGAGTAGACACTGGGCGAGGAGGCATGGGTGAGCGTGTAGGCCTCGCCATGGGAGGAGGCTGTATCTCATATTCACTGTCTGTGCTACTATCATCGGTTAATTGTGTGTAGTCCTTATCAATGTCATCAAAATCAAAATCACTTTCCTCACCATCAGAAAATAATTCACTGGTTATTTGTTCCGGAGTAAGAGATTGCGTGCTCAGGAGGCGTTTGACCTTGCGTTCGCCATGGTGACCGCTGGGTAACCGAGACCTCCCACGCATACGTGGTGAGAGCAGGATTTTTTTTTTACAAATTGGCGGCTGCTTACTATAGCCCCTGGGCAGCTATCGGGGTAGGGGGAACCCCTGGGCAGCAATTGGGGTAGGGGAAGCCCCCTATCACGCTCGCCATTCAAATCTTGCGTGATACTCCATCACGTCATATGACATTATGCGCAATTTATAGCAAGTTATTCAACACGTCATATGACGTGTTGCACAGTTAAATAATTAAACATTAAATCTAAATTTCAAAGATACACCAAATTATCATGAAAGCTGGGAAGTCCTTAAATTAACAGTTTGTCCAATACAAAAGTACTTTCCTTACCTCTAACTTTGCGAACCGCTCCGCCTTATAACAGGCAATCTCAGCATTGATAAGTTTAGTAAGAAGGAACTCTTTGAACTGAGGACCTTTCTCAAAAGTGGATGTAAGAGGGAGAGTTGGCCCAAAAAATGGAACATCAGATCTTGCCGTTACACTCACTCGGTACCTGGTGGTTATTTATTAAATGGTGACATTTGTGAGACGATGTGCTTGTGCTTTTAAAGAAAAAGTCATACTTATACTGTATATATTATTTAAATTATTACATATAAAGTACAGTACTGTATATATATATTCATTAATCTTGATAGCATTATAATTGCCATAAGCACAAAACCATATTACTGTACAGGGGTACCTCGGTTTACGAATTTAATCCATTCCTGAGACGGTTCGTAACCCGAAAATCTGTAAACCAAAGCAAATTTCCCCATAAGAAATAAAGGGAAATGAATTTTTTCGTTCCCGACTCCCCAGAAGCTTCACTTCAAAGTAAATTTTATACCTAATTTCCCCAAATCTTCACTACAAAAGTATGTTCAAGTTATTACTTACCCTTGCTGATGACTCCTGTTGGTATATGGAAGATGGTGAGGAGGGGAGAGGAGGAGGAGAGGTGTTACTGTTTAGAAGGGGCATCCCCATTCCATTATAACATCAGGCAGTGAAGATTTCTCTGGCATGGTTTGCCTGCATACCACTAGGTCCTGGTTGTGGCTCACTGCTTGATTTTCTCACAAGGAAATGTTACATTGAAGATTGTTTTTCCCTTCTTTGCAACACTTGTCTGCAGTGAGGGATCACACTGTCATTGAAAAGATTAATGCAACAGCCAGCTAAAACTTTTTCTGGCCGATTCTTTTCAGCAAAACTTTGCAGTTCAAATACTGTACATATTTTCTGAATTAATGAGGAAGCGACATCCTCTACTGCCTCTTCCCCTGAAGATTTGTTATACTGCCTAGCTAGTTCAACAACACATACCAGACCACACACTAGAAGGCGAAAGGACGACGACGTTTCGGTCCGTCCTGGACCATTCTCAAATCGACTTGAGAATGGTCCAGGACGGACCGAAACGTCGTCGTCCCTTCACCTTCTAGTGTGTGGTCTGGTCAACATACTTTAGCCATGTTATTGTGACTCGTCACCTGCAACACCTGTACCATTTTCATGCTTACGAATGATCGCTTGTTTTTCCTCTATGGTCATTCTCACATGTGATTTCTTGCCTTGAACCTTGCCTTTCTGGGGACCCATGGCGAGATACTGTATATAACAACTTTTATCGTCAAATAGCCAAAAATCCAAAAAGAAACTGTAAATCCTTGGGAAGAATTCAGGCAGGATAGTCACTGGGCGTGAGGCACTGATAAACTCTGTGTGCAATCACCGTGCCACCACGCGCTAGGTCAGCCGTACGCGTATCAACAAACTCGTATCCTGAGGCAAGATTCGTATCCCGATTCAAATTTTCCAAACAAATCGGGCTCGTAACCAGAAAAGTTTGTAAACGGGCGTTCGTAAACCGAGGTACCACTGTATATGATACATACAGTAGTTCATACATGGAACAGGTATCACCATAATCAACAAACAATTAATATCATCCCAGTAGTACAGTAGAGTTTTTTCTCAAGTCGACGATCTAGAGTTCCAGGTTCAAATCCTGGGTGGGACACAAATGGTTGAGCACATTTCCTATTACCTAATGCCTCTGTTCACCTAGCTTAACTCCTGGCTAAATAGTTACCCAGGAGTTAGTCAGCTTGTTGTAGGGTTGCATCCTTGGGAGGGTTAGTAATTCATCCTGGGGGGAGGGGGTTATACCTCAATATAAGCCAACATATTCTTTATATAAATGGGCTGCCTGTCCCCCAACAATGAATTAAATTAACTATCAGAATTAAGATTTGCCATGAACCCTCTGTATTAATGATGTCATCATTTCCCCAGGGGAAAACTTACATTTCAAAACAAGATCTTCAACCAAATTAATGTCGTACAGAAATTATTTAAATTATCTTCATTGTTTGTAGATTCAAGCATTATTATATACTGTATACTCAAACCAATAATCAACAGCCTCCCTCACGAGCCTCACTAAAAAGCAATGCCATTATTTTCTTACCCCCTATCACCTCCACCTCTAAAGGATACCTGATCAACCAGGCTGTATTTCATGCACGATTGTGTACAGCTGCACTTAACAGCCTTCTTGACCAGAACCAATCAGGAGGCCTGGTCAGAGACTGGTCAGTAGAGATGTTAATCTTTGAAACCAATGCAAGGTAACCACACAATATATGAAACGGCAAATCACATCTATTTACCAATTTACCAAACTTAAAAAAGCAAAAGCACCAAGATATGATATATTATTGACTGGGGGGGGAATGAAACCATGATATCATACCCCATTAAGAAGGAATACAATTATTCTTGAATTTCTAATATGATGCGTCAAATAAATTACGTAAAAGTGACGGAATACAGTACTTTAATAATTTGTTTAGCCAAGAAAGTAGAATCCTTTGCCAGGAGATAATGAAAAACTGTACCATTTCTTGGACAGACCTAGGCCTCTCCAAGAAACCAGGATTAAGACTGACTGTTTATCATTTAACATACAAATCACTGTAAATTCCGAATATATTATACCTTAGCTACTTTGTTACCTACATGACTTTCCAAAAATTATGCATATTAGTGGCTTTCAAAGAATGTACCAGTTTTTTTTCAGGGGTATTCCTTCATGGGCCCTGAGCCTCTGGCTAATGTAACACTGACATGGAGGGGGAATTTTCAACTTACCTTGTGTTGGATGTGCAGGGGTCAATAGGCTGGACAACAATGTACGCATGAAGAAAATGCGAGGCAATCATATCAGGAGCAAAGGGAGTGTTTGCCTCTTGGAACACAATTGCAACCATGTCATTGCCTATGTGTCGCTTCCTCTCTAGCTGCTGTGGGTCATTATCCTTGTAAGGCAGCATCGTTGACACATGAAACATAATTTCTTTTTTTCTAAATATTTCATAAATGCTCTCTTCACCTGTCTGACCAAATTGGGTGTCCAGACCGCCTTTGAATCTGAAATTGTAAAATTAACATATTTCAGAATATTCAGTATATTCATACCAACAAAAAACAAGTGTTGAATGTAATGAAATGCCATTTGCTGGGTGAATCCTGGAGGCTCCCCAGAGCTATCCAGGCTAATATGGATATCCCTAACTTTGGCATCAGTAGATATGGGTGGAGATATGGACACTTTGGACCCAGAAGCAGGGGGGAAGGGAGAACCAATGGAACCACAGCAGGGAAAGAACGAGGGGGAGCGCAGACGGACCCAACGCCGAAGCAACCAATACCCCCCAAGTCCGGGTCACTATAAACAAAACGGGGCAGCCTCAGGGCATCCGGGGAAGCAACCAACCTAGTGTGCTGCAACCTAAACCTATCTTGTAGCACGAGAGATGCCTGCACCCAAAATGTCATCATCAGAATGGGTGAACCGAGTCACAAACAAGCAACAAAGCTCACAAGACTCCGGGTTGAATGTGTCTCCGACCCATCAGGCAGCATGACGGAGGCAAAAACAATGAACGTCACCCAAAGACAAGGGGACAGAGTAACCCTCAAACTCGCAAAAAGCGAGAGGGGACTCGGGGGGCCATATCTATTGGAGCCGAGCGCCCCCCAGGGTTTCTCAGGGGCCCCCTAGACTGGGTCTGCTAAGGGTTATCCCAGGCAGGGTACTGCTTACCAGAACCCAAGCTACGAATCAACACTGCCAATGCTGAACCCCCAAGACTTGTCCACTCATGAGGGTGAAGCATGGGGTACCACCAAACACAAACAACACTAATGTAAAGGGGAAGGAACACCAAGGCAGACCCCCCAACAGGCAAAAACAAAAAGGAAAGAAAAACCTCACAAGAGGACAGCATCTTGAGGTTATCTTGAGATGATTTCGGGGCTTTAGTGTCCCCGCAGCCCGGTCCTCGACCAGGCCTCCACCCCCAGGAAGCAGCCCGTGACAGCTGACTAACACCCAGGTACCTATTTTACTGCTAGGTAACAGGGGCATAGGGTGAAAGAAACTCTGCCCATTGTTTCTCGCCGGCGCCTGGGATCGAACCCAGGACCACAGGATCACAAATCCAGCGTGCTGTCCGCTCGGCCGACCGGCTCCCCTAGAGGGAGCAGAGCAGGCCGCTATTATTGGTGAAAACTAGTTACGCAGTACCCCGTGCCCCCTACTAGTGCAAAAACTATCACTTACCCCAAGGCAACTGGGGAGGAAACCCCCCCAAAACATTTGGGGCAGTCAATCGCCAAGCAGCAAAAAACCAACAGAGGTAAACCCAAGGCGACTTGTGGAAGGGAACCCAAAGCCCCTAGGGTGGTACTTACAGGGCACTCAGGGAAGATGACCCTAAGCACATGTAGCCTGCGTACCCGTGAATATTACCCCCAGCTCGCACACCATTGTAAGAGCAGTACTGAACAGAGGACAACACAACAACAGAGTCCGGAGCTGGAACTACAATGAACAAGCCGTATCCCATCAGCTGAAGAACTGAAGGGTGGATTGCCAGCGCGGGGGTCTGGGGCTTTCCCTTCCCCCTCCCAGGGAGGGGGGAGCTGCGCAGACATGTGGCGCACCTCGTATGACGCCAATTTTGTCTTTTTAGCCAGAATGGGGGATTGTTTTGTGGCACTTACCTTTCTGGGTGCCTGTCCCGGTCAATGGCAGATATAGAATGCTCCAAAATCACATGTGCATCTTCTATGGGCAATTGCTCCTCGTGCCTCTCTGAGGGGGCCAGGTTCTGGCTCGTGGTCCCCGGTAGGCCTAGAACTCCACCCACAGACTGATGCCAAAGTTAGGGTTATCCATATCATCCTGGATAGCGCCAGGAAGCCGTTGGGGCTTCCTGGAGCCCAGAAACTTTATATATACTGTACTTTACTGTAACTGAAATTTTATAGAATTATAAAAGAAATTTTGCATCTTTGTTTAAATGCACATGGGAAAAATACATGAACATAATTGGTTATTGTTTGTAAGGTTGAATGTTTATTACTCTTACAATTTAAAATATATATATAGCCCTGATATACTACATCCTGGGTGCTTTCCACCAAGAAGTGGCCACAGCAAGAATTTTCCCAGGAGGCTATCATCGCACAAACTTTTCAAACTTTATTTACCTCCCCTGCCCCTCCCCCATTATTTTCAAATATTGGAAAAGAGGGACCTCATGGTTGGAGCTTACATCCTTCAAACCCAGATGGCAAGTACACCCAAGAAACTCAAGCCTTGGGAGTACAAAGACAAGACTTACCCTTCGTGGTCCTTGAGCTTCACCCTCTGACCCATAAGACACAGGAATTCCTCAAGTGCTCGGCTTTCACATTTGTTGCCGAATAGCTGTTCCTCCATGGTCTGTCCAAAGCGCTGGTATATGAGCCCAAACTTGAAGTGGTTCTTCAGAACATGCTCATCATAGGCCAAGATCAACTCTGGTCCTTCAGGAGTCACGACAGGGTAGAAACATTCAATTGTCAACTCCTCCTTTAACCTCTGGGGAGAGACAGAGGATTAGTGTCATTCTTTTTAAATACTGTACCAACAATTACTGGTGTTAATACTGAGGATCAGTGCACATTTCATTATATTGATCTTGATCTAAAAGATGAGCAAGATAAAGAGCACTATACCATATTGATCATAATATAAAAAGATGATCAGAAATGGTTAAGATAATTATGCTTGTCTATACAAAGTAGTGCAGATCACTTAATATAAGCAGGAATTCAATAAGATTTAAGGGTGCACAACTGGTAGGGAAAGGGGGGGGGGGAATTTGTACTTTGTGGATGTGAAGACATGCAAAATATTTCCTATAAATATGAGAGCAACATATTAGTGGGTTTTATATAATATACATTGTGTATACATTGAGAGAGCGAGAGTAGTAGGAGGAGGAGGAGGAAGTGATTTTTCTTTTTCATATAAATTCTGAAATATAGAATAATGTTTAAGGAGCCCGGTGCATGTGCACCGAAACTTTCTCAAGAACACTCAATTTGTTTTTTTACATAATCTCCATGGTAAATGCTCCAACTTTTCCTAATGAATCAACATTATACCATGAAAAGAAAAAAAAGTTAAAAAAAGTTAAAAAATCTAAAACAAATCACAATTTCAAATTGCTATAAATGTCTTATAATGTCACCAATTGTTATTTTCTTCATTGTGGTCATAGAATGGCATATAACATTCATTCTCCTCTGATGGAATTATTGTTTAAGAATATTCTTTACTGTAAACAAAAAAAAATTGAAAGTGGCCATCTAAATAGGTGCCAAATTTATACACAAAATATCTATACTGTAACTCCAAACTTTATGGCTTTATGACTAAACGATTCAGAGGAAACTTTAGAACTAAGATCTTTACACATATGTAAAAATGATGAAAATTGGTCAGAAACTGAAGTTTTTATTAGGTCTCAAAGTTTAAAATATTGTTCACAGAGAAAAATTGCATTTAAAGTTCTCTACAATAAATATAGTACTTCTAATTTATGACATGTCTTGTAAGTTTTAATTAAGATTGCTGGGCATTCACAGTGGAAAATGTGTAAGTGGTAGATCAGTATGTGTTGAAATCAAGTCAAGAAAAAATAACACCCAATAAACAAAATACTATATAGGGATATGTTATTGATAACTGTAAAACAGACACTGAGGCCCATTAACTATCTAACAGTTGGTTAGACATGTATATGAATGAGATTGCATGGATATAAGTAGGAGCTGCCTCGTATGGGCCAATAGGCCTTCTGCCGTTACCTTCATTCTCATGTTCTTACGTTCTAATAATAAAACATTTATTGCAGTAACTTTATTGACCATATATAAGTGATAAGACTCATCTGGTCCCTATTCATCAATACTGTACAAGCTAAAGAAAAAAAGAAAACAGTATGAACTCTAAATAAATTGCCCCCCCCCCCCCCAAAAAAAGTCAACTTCTGCCACCTGTAGCTGAATAACATGTTGACCAATTTCGTTCCAACTTAGTATGGAATATGCTTAGTATGGGATATGCATTCCCCAAGATGTAAAAAGAGTCAACAAAATCCGAATAAAAACAAAGGAGGGGGGGGGGGAATTATTGTTGTCACCTTTTTGTATAATGGGACATAAGAAATATTGCCATTGGGGCAATGTATTTATATGATATAAGAACATAAAGATAACTGCAGAAGGCCTACCCCTACGAGGCAGCTCCTATTATAACCACCCAATCCCACTCATATACATGTCCATCCCACGCTTTAAACAATCAAGGGACCCCACCTCCACTACGGTATGCGGTAATTGGTTCCACAAAACAACCCTGTTACCGAACCAGAATTCACCCAAGTCTTTCCTAAATCTAAACTTATCTAATTTATACCCCTTGTTTTGTATTCTGTCTTGGTTGATACCTTTAATACCCTATTAATATCCCCTTTGTTATGTCCATTCATCCACCTATAAACTTCTATCATGTCACCCCTAATTCTTCGCCTTTCCAGTGAATGCAATTTAAGTTTTGTTAATCTTTCTTCGTATGAAAGATTTCTAATTTGGGAACACTTTCGCGCTCTCGGGTTCAACAAAAAATCATACCCCAGATGCTTTCGGGGCTTCGCGCGCCTATGCGGTAAGACCGAAAAAGTGTACACTCTTTTGACTGTCCTGACAATAATTGAAAGTGCACGTATTTAAATTTGGTATCACTGTGTTCGCAATAAAATTGTCTATAAGAACATATCTATAAAATGCCGCCAAAGCATAAGGATTATCAACACCAAATAAAAAAACTATTCAGATCACTAGTCGAGAGCGCCAAACAGCAACAAAATGTTTCCACTCTCTTAATGGTTGCGAAGCCTACAGTTGTCCTACATCGCTAATTGTAGTATCATTGGAATCGCAATAAAATTCTCTACACGGACATATGCATATAAATATAGATTCAATGTCGTAGCCCACCCAAAACAGTGTGGGAAGTGGCCGAAGTGTTACCCGCGGCGGCATATCGGCGAAACTCGCTTTGAAAAGTGTATATTCAATTCACTGTCCTGACATTATTTGTCGATGTATGTATTTCAGTTTTGTACCAATGTGCTCGCAATAGAATGTTTTATAAGAACATAAGTATTAAAGGTCACATAAGGATGCGTTCGACCGGCAACATATATAAAAACTACGTCGATTATACTCGTTGTGTCAATAATACAATTGTTTTACACGATGATTCACTGCCACGCCGTTCTCTTTAATAAGCTGTTCGGCTATTAGAGAAAACGTAAATTTCATGGCAAACATTTGTAAACTATTCCCAAGTTGATCGGGTAATAAATGGATTTTATACAAATATTTTTTCTCGTGACTCCCGAGAGGGGCACGCGTGCGGTGTGATTAATAATATTGGTGACAACGACGGTCTGCTGGAAAGCGCGAAAGTGATATTATTAACTTTGTCATCCTACGCTGGACACGTTCAAGTGAATTTATATCAATTCTACAGTACAGCGACCAAAACTGAACTGCATAATCTAAATGGGGCCTAACCAGAGCAAGATATAGCTGAAGAACAACACCAGGTGTCTTGTTACTAACGCTTCGATTAATAAATCCCAGTATAATATTTGCCTTATTACGAACATTCATGCATTAATCCTTTGGTTTTAAGTTCTTACTAATCATAACTCCCAGATCCCTTTCGCAATTGGACTTCGCAATTTCAACATCTAGCTCATATCTTGTAACTATCATCATTACCTAGCCTCAAAACTTTACATTTATCAGCATTAAACTGCATCTGCCTATCTTTTGACCATTTCAAAACCTTATTTAGATCAATTTGAAGTGATAGCGAGTCGTCTTCCGTGTTAATTTCCCTTCCGATTTTTGTATTATCGGCAAATTTGCAAATGTTGCTCCTCAAACCTGAATCAAAATCATTTATATATATTATAAACAACAGAGGTCCCAAGACAGAGCCTTGAGGCACGCCACTTACAACATTTTCCCACTCTGACTTAACCACATTTATACTAACTCTGTTTTCTTTGGCATAGCCATGCCCTAATCCAACTTAAAATAGCAACCCCAGTACCATGAGCCTCTATCTTTTTAATCAGTCTTTCATGTGGCACTGTATCAAAAGCTTTGCTAAAGTCAAGGTACACAACATCACAATCCTTATTACTATCAACTGCCTCAACTATGCTGGAATAAAAAGATAGCAAAATTTGTTAAACATGAACGGCCATTTGTAAAACCATGTTGTGACTCGTTTATTAATTTATGTTTTTCAAGATGAAAATGAATGGTATTTGCCATTATTGATTCAAGTAACTTCCCACAATAGATGTTAGGGTAATTGGCCGATAGCATGATGCAAGTGATCCATCTCCTTTCTTAAAAATTGGTACCACATTAGCAACCTTCCAAGACTCTGGTACTCTGCCTGACTATCGATTTATTAAATATGGTAGTCAGTAGCTCGCAAAACTCCTCTTTGTATTCTTTAAGCACCCTGGCAAATACTTCATCTGGCCCTGGGGATTTGCTTGGTTTGAGTTGTACTATGTTTAATAATATCCCTACGACGACGGACGATCCTGTGTTACCTCCCACCCTACGGCCCCAGTTAGATGACATCAGCGAAGAGGAGGAAGTTAACTTTGAGGGTTATACAACGCAAGCAGGGTGTACAATTCACCAACCAGCTAGGTTCCTTGATCAAGTGTTTTTCCTTTCATCCCCTGGGAGGGGGAGTTCTGTAGCGAGTAGATTATCCGAATAATATACTCGCTCCAAACGCATTAGCCTAATGAGAGAAGCAAAGCTCTTCTTAGTACTAATTATTCCTGCCAACCTTTGGAGAAAGGCGAGGTGTTGCCCGAGCATATAAGCAGCAGATTAGCGAATAATAACTATTCTACTTTCAAGTGTGGTCTAGAACAGACACTTGCGAGATACTGTACCGATTCTCAGTGCTCTAAACTCACACCATTGCTCGCCAAAGTATCACCTGCATACTTCTGTATACTCTACCAAATATATATATTCTCTTAGTGTTTGTGTTTATTGTCACCATACTTTACATAATAGAACCGTTACAATGTCATGGAGAAAATCAGTTGGAGCAATTTATTTCGGATAAATTTTGTAGCATTTGACCCAGATCAGAGGTATAGGTCAGCGCCTCACAGGTCGACCCATCTCCACAGCTCTTCTAGTTACACAATACAGAAGAATGTCTCAACTTTTTTAGCCCTTAACCCTAGGCTCGGTTAAAAAAAAAAAAAAGACAACATGGTTAAGTGTAACTAGTATTTACTGTAAGAATTAGTAACTGGGCATCCACAATGCAAGCTCAGTTGGTAGCAATACTGGTAGCACTAAATTATTGACAACATTGAAGTAGACAGCTTAATTATTTCTGGACTCCCTTTCCTCACTACTAGCAATTAATAGTTTGCAATCAAGTAATAATGTGCTTGTCTCGGAAGCCAG